TCTGGGGTTTTGGTGTTGCGGGGGACATACAGGACCGTGACCCGACGTCGGTCCTGATTGGTACGAAATCCTGGAACTGGCGTCGTTTGTGCTGCTTGCGCCAGGCTTCCCAGACTGAGGCCAATTGGACAATGACCCTCACTGGCACTGTGGTGTATTTGGCTAAAGCAACCAGTCCTGCGAAAAGGGCCCTTGCCTTTGTTTGTGAGCCAGGTGGGATGAGCTGGCCCAGGCTGAGGGTATGGACACAAAGGCCGGGTCATACGTGGAGGGGTGGCATCAAGGGTAAAGGCCCAACCACTGTACTGGTGCTGTTGCAGAGGCTGGAGGGTTTGCCAGCTGCCATGGCTTTGGTCAGGATGGGCATATTGTCTGTGTTCTTGTGGTTCGAGTGGTATCCATCCAGCCGACCAAAGCGGTTCTTCTTCTGGGCACGTGATCCGCTGCATCCACTCAGCTGGCATTGGGTCATGTTGTCGGTCCTTGTGCCACTTGCAAAGCCACAAAATGTGTTTGGAGGTGAACCAGAGCGGGCAGGTTTTGATCTTGGCGGCGTCTCTGTATTGGACAGCTCCTTGAACCCAAGTCCGCAAGTTGGTCTTCTGTGGTGCCGAGAGTTTCTTGCTGAGCTGTTTGTAGACATGCCAGTCCAATCCGGAGATCAAGTGTTGGTGATTGGCCCGGCTGCTGATGCGGCGAGCGCGTTGTTGATGCGCTGCTTGAAGTAATGCCTGCTCTACCTTCCACCAGGGCCAGGTGAGGTTGATCTCATTTCTCAGGAGAAATTGGTCTTCTGCCCTGGTCCAAAGCATGAGATCTTGTGTCTGCCAGTGCCGTTCGTGGAGGTAGGCAATGGTGACTGCCATTGGACCTCGATCTGTATACAAGGGTGCTGTTTTTCTGTGAGTCGTTGATGCGTTTGGACCCAGGCCTGTTCGAGGTAGAGCCGCGGCGTGGTGGCCAGGCATGGATGAGCTGGTACATGGCTTTGATGTGGTGAATCATGATTTGGTCTCCGGGATCCATGTAGCGGCCTTTCTGTAGATCATAGGCGCTGTCAAGGTTCCCTCCAGTGTGGTGTCCTAGATGTTTTGCCATGGCCTGCCGTAGTCCGGTTCTGTACCTTGGCGCGAGCCCTTGACTCTCCACGCACCATTGGGCCACCGTGTGAATGCCACCCCTGCGCAGCCTCAGTCGAACCGGCAGCGCAGGGATCTTGAGTGCTTTGAGCTTGGTTCGTAGGTTTTTGGCCTTGGCCAATCGTTGTTTGAGGACAGGGATACGCCTACGGCGGGCTGCCTGGTGATCGATGCCAAGATCCCTCATCACCAGTGCTATTGGTGGCTCGTCTTCTCGCAGCAGGCTGCGGAGCTCTTTGTCAGCGGACTTGTCTGTGGTGATGAAGGCTGTCTTTTTGGGATTGACTTGAAGCCCAAGTGCCACCAGCCGTTGGCGCAGATCCCTGTATGGTGTCAATGCTGTCAATGCTGGGGCCAAACCAGCCTTGGCGAGAAGTGGAGCTTGTGGGCATCCTGCCACAATGGCTTTGGGACCCGTGTAGACCTGCATGGCCATTTCCAACATGAGCGGCGTTAAGGCCTCTTGCTGCAGTCGATCCAGTTGGATGGTGTCGTAAAAGGTCGACATGTCCATCAATACAGTGAGCCCATGTCTACCATTGGCCCTGCGCACCTCTTGTCTTTGTAGGCTCTCGAGTGCCACTTGAATGACCTGAGCTCCTGGTCTTGCTTTGTCATGATCCATGGTGGCTGGTAGCTGCAGTTGCCATTGATGTGAGAGTGAGGAGGGCACGCGGTCTCCAGGGTATTGCCCAGTCTGTCGTGAGTGATGTGCTTCCAGCAAGTGAGTTGTGGAGAATGCTGAAGTCGATGACGTTGCCCGACAACACACTGTGGTCTGGTGCAAGGATGCCAAAGTTGAACTTGGCCGGTAGGACTGTGCTGGAGATACTGCTGGGCTGATTTTGCCAATCACCAATGATCACAAAGGGATGCGTTGTGGCCTGGAGTAGGCTCAACAGCCTGGCAACGATGCTTGCATTGGTGTCGCTGCGCAGGCTTTCGTTGGTGCGGAGGTAAAGGCCTGCAACCAGAATGGTGCGTTCGGTGGCCTGCCACAGAAAAGCTTGGAAACCACATCCCTGGGTGGTGTGTGCCTCCAATGGCGTCAAACCACAAGAAGGGTCGGCCAAGACCAAGATGCCTCCATGGGTGCCGGTGTTGTCATCATTCGGACAGGCTGCCGTACCAAAAGCTGTTCTGCCCTGACAGTGAAGTATTGACATGTCTGGTGATGTCGTTGTGGATCAAGGTGGCTCTCAACAAGAATGAAAACTCCGCTCTCCCGGGTCCAGAAACAATCGATGACCTGCTTGCCCAGTGTGGTGACATTGGCATATATAGTGCAGCTGGTTATGGGTCTGTTCCAGTCTTGGCCGTTTCTCCGGGCTGGGGTGCAGCGGCGGGTCGTAGTCCGGCTCCTCAGCGGGTGGGAGCGACTGGATGACTTGTTGGGTTGTCCTGAAGGTGTCTTTATGCACTGACCAGATCTGTGTCAGGTGGGCTAGATGGATTGGTGGTTTTCCACCAACCACATGAGGTCTCGTCTCATGGTTCGGACCTCTGTGGCATATGAGTGCTGCTGGTACAAACTCTGAGGATGTCCTGGCAAAGCCGTCCAGAGAGCGGGGCATTGTGAAAGTGCCATACGGGTTCAGGATCTTGGTGCGCTTGGTGGCCACTCCTTCGATGCTGGTGTTTCTGGTAATGTGACTTACCAGCGCTGGTTTGTCATCCATGAGGACTGGCCGAGCCCATTGTTCGCCCATCCATTGCAAAGGTCTTGGAGGGTTGTGTTTTCCGGCCAGTCATCCGGGTAGTCAACCAACAGTGGCACCTGCACATGATCGACCAGGAAACCACCGGGCTGGATCTCGGCAAACCGTTAGTGGAAAGCTCTGGTTTGGGAGAGATTCCACAAGGGAGTTGACAAAGCGATTTGCATCTCCCTGGACATTGAGATCGTGTTTGGCCCACAAAGATGGCAGCTGATGAAGATCAACAGCTTCAGCAAGTTCCATAGACTCCTGAACTGCATCTTGAAGGTTTCCCCATGGCTTTGTATGTGTTTCTTGCAGGAGAGCACAAGTCCATGTGAAGGCCCTCCATGGTGCATTCGCGTATCACCGAGCGCTTGGATTGCCAAACTGTCATGGAGAGGTTCTGCAAGATGCATTCAGTGGTTGATGCATAGGCGTGCTGCATCCTGGTACCAGACCGAAGATCTGTTTCGTCCGGCCACTGGTGCACCACCTTTGATGGGGATGACAGAAGGTCCAGGTGCCCCCAACGTTGGACCATCAGCGCCGATCTAGGCAGGCAAGTTCAAAAATTGGGCCAACTAGTGTTGCTGGCTTGTGCCTGTGTCTGTAATTGAGAGGTGTGTTCCCCTACACCTTGGTCAATGAAAACGTCTTGTGGCACTTCAAAAAGGGTGTCTGGCAAGTTTTTGGGTGACTGTTCCCTGCACCTGGACAAACTTGCGGTGGCCCCTGCTGTGCTGAGCCGGAAGGAGCACGGCAAACCCATGAGGCGTTGGGATCAGCATCAAAGTCATCCCAAGGGACAGGCACCGTGATCCCTGAGTGGTCCCCTGGGTTGGTGGTGTGTGTGTTACCCACACTGTCCTCCTGACGGAGGACTGGCCGGGTTCTCTGTTTTGCGCCTCTTGCTACGCTCGTCTTCATCCAGGCTTGGTCGTTTGAGCAAACCATGAAGCTGACTGCGTTGGTCGTCAGTCAGTGCAATGCCCAAACTGGGGACAAATGTCTCTACAGCCATCGGAAGTGGGAGGTCCGGCGCTGTGAATTGCGTGAGTGCTTCTGGTAGTGGGCTTTGGTTGACTGCCTTCGTGCACTGTTCCGAAAGGCTCTTCAAATTCTGCTGGACCTCCGTCAGTTTGGTCTGAAGGTCCTGCATATCCTGCAGCATAGAGGCATATCGGGCTTTGATTGTGTCAAGCTTCCTCGGTAGCTGCGTCTTCTTGACGGAAATGGCCTTGAGGTCGGTGACCTGTATTTTCAACTTTTGTGCAATCTCCTTCTCTGTGTCTGGGATTGGCTGGGTCAGCTTGTTGACCACATCCTGGACAGCTTTGGGCAAGGCTGTTAGGTAAGTTTGGAGTACCTCACCCAATCCAGGTTCTTCTGGTTGAGGTGGGCCGTAACATAGGGCGTGAAGCTTTTCCCAAGTGGTAGCCAGTAGGTCAGCTGCCATCTGCTGGTCTTGTGAAGGCCAGGTGGTGAGTCCAGGAGCGCTTCTGCATAGGTCTTCTTCGGCCAGGAGGTGTTGTTTAAGGTCTTGGCTCGGTAGCCATGTCCTTGCCCTTTTCCTTTTCCATTGGGTGGAGGTGTTGGCTGCCACCAAGTGCCGCACTTGCGGCATCGTGTACCTGGGTTGAGCTTGTCATCCCAGATCCAGTTCCGACACGTTGGATGCCGGCAGGTCGTATAGTTCCTGGTCCATGTAGGGGCTTTGGGAGATGGCATACTTCCGGATGCTGTGGTTCTCAAGGCCGTCGTCAAAGGGCCGGGTGTTGGCAAGGTGCTTGGCCCCGAGTTCGTTCTGGCCTAGGTGCCTCACAGAGGTGTAGTGCCAGTCGAGGAAGGCCGAGATTGTGAGCAAAGAACGGTGGTATGTCACCTTGTCCTTGGGCCAAGCTTCTTGAGGTTCTCGCTGCAAAAGTAGCGCAAGGGAAGTCCGCACAAAACTCGTCTTTGGGGCTGCCAGTTTGAGCACTCACGGCTTGAGCCATGCATGCATGTAAGTATGTATGTACGCACGCTTGTTTAGCTCACTCACCTTCATATTCACAAAGCATGCGCTTCACGCAGCAGTTGTTCCGTTCAAACATTCTAAAAGAACTATACATCAAAAAGGAATTCTCTATTCAAGATACACAATGAAGTGTCTGGCTCCCTCCTTGGGCAAGAAAGTGTCGAAGACTTGCCTTAGAAACGCAGAGGAACAAGCACCGGTCGGAAACTCTGCTCAGGCCAACAAAATACGCGCTCAACCCAGACCTTGACGGCGAAAACAAAATAAAACTGGACTCGGCCTGCAACTGTTTGTGTCCAAGTTGCACACTAGAACCGCGATCGCCAGCTACACGCCCACCTCGGGTATCCTGCCAAGATTGCCAAGATGGCACCGAGTCGGCCACAGGAAGATTGTGAACGCTTGCGATTACTGCCAGGAGTGGCGCTTATTGATTGGTTGAATCGAAACTAGGCAAAGCGCTGTCTACCTGAACAGTTTGCTTGACCTGCTGCTTGAGGCCGATTGCTTTGCCAAGCTGCCGACCAATTGACAAAGTACACCACCGTAAGCCCCAAACAGTTTTTGTTTTCTAGAGTCGGAACACTCTGCAACTAGAGTTTGTGACGGAAGCGCTTTTTTCTGTCAATCCAGGGCTGGGAGACAAATGTCAACGATTGCAAGGCAGAGGCGGACACAGCAGCCAAGAGCTGGAAGACAAATGTAAAGGTGCAAGGCAAAGGCGGACACAGCAGTCCAGAGCCGGCAAACACATGTAAAGGCGGACGAAGCAGTCCAGAGCTGGGAAACACATGCAAAGGATTACAAGCGAGAAGTGCACACAGGATTGCAAGACTGCGCGGCTTGGTGAGTTAAATAGAAGTGCTCGGAAGCGAAATCAGCGGCTGCAAAGTCACCCATTGATGACAGTCATTGGCAGCGCACGAAAATACGCACAGGATCAGCGCCAGTTTGTCGTTCTGGTACCGCACGATGTTGGCTTGAGGAGCACAGTTACTGGTCTGGATACAGCTCCTGCTTCACCGTGCGCGAACTTCATTGTTCAACCGTCGGACTCTACACTCTCAAAAATTCGTCCAGTGGGAGATGCAACAAAAGGGGAGTTCCGGCCAAGTCACAGATCGACAGTCAACTTGCGTCTTCTGGTCACCGCAAGGGAGAAGAAGACGAAAGTTGGTGGCGCTCGATTGCTCGCAAGCTGAGAGTAAAGCGAGACAATTGCTATTCAGTGGGCAGGTGCAGGTGCAAAGGACAGAGGGGAGCACCTATACCGTGGGCGAAGGCCAACCCACAGCGCAAGCAACGAAGAAAGGTGAATCGGAAGTAGCAGGAGGAATTGAGGCGCGCACGAAGAAGGCCAACGCAAAGGGCTCCGTCTGGGGAACGAAGGAGAGGCAGCAAAGATATATGCAGCGGGGCCGGGGATCCCACAAAATTGAACCTCAAGAAATTTTCCGCAGACTCAAGCCTGGGAGTCACACTGTAGACAAGAAGAGCTTGCATTAAAGCGCCGGCTTCTGTAAGTGTTCGGATATCCTCTCCACCCTAGCAGTTCAGTCCAGAGCTGGGAGACAAATTGCAAGCGAGAGGCGGACACAGCAGTCCAGAGCAGGGACAAAAGTAAATGCAAGGCAGAGGCGGACACAGCAGTCCAGAGCTGGGAGACACATGTAAAGGTTGCAAGGCAGAGACACAGCACTCCAGAGCTGGGAGACAAATGTCCAGAGCTGGGAGGCACATGTAAAGGGACACAGCAGTCCACAGTTGGGAGACAAATCTCAAGGATTGCAAGGCAGAAGCGGACACAGCAGCCCAGTCGCACGCCGTACGCAAATTACACCACCGTAGACCCCAAACAAGTAGGACAACAAAGAAGCATTCCCAAGTCTACCTTGTTAAGACATGGGAGACAAGAAGGAAGACAAAGTGGACACAATAACGGCACAATGACCAACAAGAAGGGGGACAAGAAGGGAGAAAAGAGAGAACAGAAGGGAGACAAGACGGACACAATGACCAACAAGAAGGGAGACAAGACTGGAGACAAAAGGAAGCAGAAGGGAGACAACACGGACACAGTGACCAACAAGAGGAGAGAAGAAGGGAGACAAAAGGAAAGGGAAGGGAGACAAGACAGACACAATGACCGACAAGAAGGGAGACAAGAATGGAGACGAAGGAAACAGAAGGGAGACAAGACGGACACATTGACAAACAAGAAGGGAGACAAAAGGAAACAGAAGGGAGACAAGACGGACACAATGACCAACAAGAAGGGGGAGACAAAAGGAAACAGAAGGGAGACAAGACACCGAACCTGGCAGACAAAAGTAAAGCAATCACCTGGGAGACAAATGAATAGAAATGCTACATGGCCAGCGGAAAAGGGCGGACACCAGCAGTGACAGACCTGGAAGACAAATGAATAGAAATGCTCACTCACCTCTCACCTCACTCACCTCACTCACCTCACTCACCTCAAACTGTTTGGGGAATGAATAGAAATGCAGCATGGCCAGCGGAAAAGGGCGGACACCAGCAGCGACAGACTTGGGAGACAAATGCATAGAACTGCTACATGGCCAACGGAAAAGGGCGGACACCAGCAGTGACAGACCTGGGAGACAAATGAA